TTTTTGGAAAATTTTAAGGATTTCTAGCTATTTTCAAAGATTCTTTCAAGATATTGTTCCGTCTGAAATTTGATGGAACGTTGTTTTAATTACTGTAGGTTACTGTAGATAGAAAACTAATTTCCTTTTGTAGTTTTTTTCGCAAACACAATCACGTGAAAATGCAGATAAATTTTGGTTGCAAAAAAACTACAAAATGCAGGGTTTTCTACAGTAATCTACGGTAACCTACAGTAATCCTAAACCATCCCGTCAAATTTCAGACTAAAAACTCGGAAAATCGAAAAAAATTCTTTGAAAATAGCTGAAAATCGAAAAAAGGTCTGAAAATTTTGCAAAAAATCCAAGAAAAAATCCATTTTTTTTCTCTAGATATTTGGTCGTTTTCAGTCAATTTTCACTATCAAAAACTTATATTTTCTAACTTTTTTGTGGTAAATAACTGAAAAACTGACAGAAAACAGTGAAAAAACGAGAAATTAATTCCGGAAAAATACGAAATATTCGGGAAAAAAAACGAAAAAGAATTATCACAAAAGCGCCATCCTTTTTTGATATTTTTTGAAAATCTAGAAAAAAACACATAAGGGAAAACCCAAATTTCACATACTCATAAACAGTTTCAGTACCTCGATTCTTTTTCTCTTTAAAAATCAGTTATTTCAGTACACAGACAACTATGATATGCAAGTCGTAGGGATAGAATCGATAACGGATAAGAGCAAAATGAGTGTGGAGGATCGGGTGAAGACGATTTATGCACAAGCTCTGAATCTTCAAAAAAGTATGGAAGATGGCGATGAAGTAGAAGAAGAAGAAGGATTGGATAGTAGTGATGAAGAAATTCCACTAGAAGATGAAGAAAATCTCGTGAAGTTTCATCTGAATCCTGAAATTGAGGAGATAGAAGGGTCGACAGATGAATCGGATGAGTGTACAGAGACGGAGGATTCTGAAGATTCTGAAGAAGATTCGTTGGAATCATCAGAGGAAGAGAATGAGACGTCAGAGAGGTCCGAGGAAGAATATGAAGACGGAAAGAAGACAAAGGAGCAGCGAGAACTGGACGAACAAAATGCATATATTGAGGAGCGGATTCGACGAACCTACGCCAGTCTCCGCCAACATCAGATGCAACTCGAAGCTCGTCGTCAGAATGTATATTAGCCTAATTAACAAATTTATTTATTTATTCATTCATCTGGGTCAGTTAAAATTTAGTCGTTGCTTGTTTTGTTTTACAGAAAAAATCAGGGTTGTTATTTAAAATGTTTAAATTAAAATGTGAATATTTTGTTTAATGTACTGGGTCCATCAAAATGCCTTTTCTTTCAATGACTGTTTCAATGAATTTGTTGTTTTTTATCTGAATTTTTCGTTCTCAAAGATTCCAGCTCATTGTATATTTTTTCTTAGTATTAGGTAAACAGGGATGTTTGGAATGGCTGTTTCAGAATATTCCGATTTTCGAAGTCTTGGAATTTCAGAATTTTCCGATTTTTGAAATCTCAGAATTTCGGGAAATTCGGATTTTCAAAATTTTGGAATTTTCGAATTTCCGAATTTTAAAAATTTCCAAAAAATGGATTTTTCCGATTTTCGAAATCTCGGACATTTGAAAATACAGCTTCACGGTCTCCCACAGAACATTTCCGAACTGCAAATTAATTTTTGATCTACAGTAAAAAAAATTTGGCGCGATCACAATTGCAGGTTTAAAACCATAATTTCAGAATTTTTTTATCTGATTTTGTGGAGATTCAAGATGATTCAAATGATTCTTAAAAAATTAATTCGTGGTTATTGAATCCTGTATGGTCCTTTTCCGGAAGAAAAAATTTCAAAAATGGTCATTTTTAAAAGTTTTTTACAGAAAAAATGTAT